CTGAACATACAGGCATGTACCAAGGTTACAATGTAAGCTTTTACATACGGGCCGTAGTTTGGGACAGATGATGTCGAGAAGCAAGGTGAGGATATCGAGGGTCAGGCTGAGCTGACTGATCCTCGCTCTGATGCTTGCTGGGGTGTCGGCCAACATGGTGGACAGAGCGTTCTTGCAGCTGAGGAGCCGGGAGGAGGCCTGGACGGGACACAATAGTGACTGATCAGCAATGATGCCTTAAAAAATTTCTTTTTAAAAAACGTGTTCTACTCCTTTTATCACTTTTTCTTCGCACTGCTGCACAGGTGTGTGTAGGAGAGTCGTACCTCGTGCTGGCTGTGGGGATAGCTGATGCGGGGCACGTTCGTGTGGGCAAACAGGAAGTGAAATGTGATGGAAAGGAAGGGCAGGTATTTCATCAGAGAGAAGTTCTGCCCGTGCAGAATCACGTGGCTCAGCTTGTCTGAGAAGGCCAGCCAATCCAGCGCCTCGCACGCGCTCTGGAGGTTTGGGTCCCTCACACGCATGGACAGATAATTATCATACAGACCCTGAGGAAAAGAGATGTAACGCAACATTACACAGTGAACCATGAACTACTTTATATTCTGGAAACTTCCACACGAGTCAGTGCTCCTCCTCAGCTCACCTGTACTGCTCATATTAAGCACGGTTAAAGCTTCAAACATTGAGGTCAGCGTGAGTTAAGAAATCCCTGTGAGCCAAAAACTCAGAAGCCCCACCCACCTGCTTTTCAAACCTTCTGTTTATGACAAGCAACCAATCGGAAGAGAGTCGGCTTAAAGGTGCAAGAATTAAAGAAGCTCGTTTCAGACAATCGATGAGCTGAGGAGCGGCGTACGGGCCCGATATAAGATAACAAGCAACTTGAAATGAGCAGAGCAGGTCCCATAGAGTTTCCTGTATTACCTGAGAAACCTTTTCATATTCTCCACTAGACGAAGCCAGATGCAAGATGTGCTGGAACCTGTGAGCTCCACTTCCTGAACCCGGTCCGTCCTCAAACCCCTCACCGACACGTTTCCTGAAAATAATGAATAGGTCGGAAGAAGTCCGGTTTTAGATCATTTATCAGTAATTTGCAACATATTGTCCTCTACACACCTCATACACCTGCTCTACCTTTTATTTGTGCCAAAGATTTAACATTATCTTATGGCTGTTTACGATGGTCTGGCGGTCACTTGTTTTTTAGGCAATTCAGTTTTATTTATATAACACCAGCCACCTCAAGGTGCTTTATATTGTAAGGTAGAGACCCTGCAATCAAATGACCGCCTGTGAGTAAGCACTTGGCAAGAGTGGGAAGGAAAAACTCCCTTTTAGCAGGAAGAAACCTCTGGCAGAGTCAGGCTCAGGGAGGAAAAAGAAAAGACACAGTGACTCGTTTCAAGGCTTCCTACGACTTTCACCTGCTTCAACTGAAGCCTTTAAAAGACATTTTAATACTAAGCTCAGTTCATATGCGCTATGATTATCTTCAAGGTTTATCTATTTATTTAGTGATATTTGCATAATTTTCACACCCATAGGTGTGAATTGTCGTCTCTCTCTCTCTGTGTTAGCCCTGTGACAGACTGCTGAGCTGTCTCGGGGAACTCGCCGTACCGTTTTGTACGTGGTAACTGGAAGATTTCCTGCCACAGATGGAACAAGCCTTTGTTCTGGTCCTTCTGCCCCACAGAGATGCTCTGAATCGTCTTGCTGTCCAGCTGCTTGACGCCACGACTATGAAGGAACTGGACAGAAGCACAAACACACGTTTACACCGAATTCTTCACACTGGCTGTGCATCTGCCGGGCTTTCCTTCTCAGCCGCGCCACCCACCTGCAGCGTGTTGATGCAGGACCGGATGTCGTTGTCGGTCTTCTCGCACAGTGACATCAGGGTGCCCGTGTCTGCCTTCAGCCCCTGGCGGAGTGAGATCTGCAAACAGCGATTTCGTTTAAACAAGGATCAGCAGCGCGTGTCGAGATGTGTGCGTGCATCTGTGACTATGCTGACCTCTGCCAGTCTCTGTGTCAGGCGGGAAGGCTGAGTCTGTGGGAAAGCCAGGAGGAAAGCCTGCTGCCTGAGAGGCCGGAGAGCTGGGACATAACTTAAAAAGAAACAGATGACTTTAAAACGATAAAG